TTCCTTACTACAAGCAATCTGTTCCATTCTCTTAATAATCACCGCAACACACAAATTAAGCTGCTGAACGTACTGTCGCTCTGATTTCACAAACTCTTTCATGAGGATTTGTTCCGTGTGATTTGAGAGTTGTACTCTGCGATTCGTTCGATATCCTTTGGGGTATATTCTTCCTTCACATCGCGGACTTGGAGTGTCTCAAAGACAAGTAAAGCTGTAGTGATGATTGGTTGTGCCTCTACAATGACTGTTTTCAAGTCAATTAAATAAAGAATGGTATTAACTTTAGTCACCAGAAGGTCTTTTTGTGCTTCTGGCGATTCAATGAGATTCGCAAGAATCCCGTAGACGACCATCTGAACTTGCGGATTGAATTGATTCGCGTTTTTAATTAAATTCGACAACTTCGACGCCAATTTGAGTGATGTGCAACTCTTCACCAACAGCGAATTAGTTGTTGTTCGGTAGATAATAAGTAACGCAGCTCGTAATGTGACGACAGTGGATGTCTTTGTGTATGGGTATTCAATCAGTTCCAAGCACGTTTCGAAGAGTCCTGAGCTTCTGCAGATGTTTGGGAAGAAAGACGACGTAGATAACAACGAGACGATCCCAAGGCATCTTTCTACAAGACTCATATCGTCCTCTTTATTAATAATTTCTGTCAATGGTTGTAAGATATTAGTGTTTACAATAGCGTCCAAATACACCGGTTTCGCCTTTTCAAGTCGCAGTAAAATTTCAAGGCAACTAAAGAGTTCGTCGTCTTGTGGAGCGAGGAGTGTGTTATATATCAAGAAGAGTCCATTTGAGTCCACAAACTTTTGTTGCGTCTTCTCACACTGCAATATTTTGTGGAGGAGTAAAATGATGACTGGTCGTAAGTGACTGACAATCGACGAGGCTACAAGAAGGACTGGAATGAATGACTCGAAATTTTCCAGTTCAGTTGGTTGGTCTACAAAAGCGATTAAAATTTCAATGGACAACTCGAAGATGATTGGGTTCTGGTAGTTTAACAAATTTGAAATGGAGTTCAGTAAGTGTTCGTCTTGTGTGATGAAGAGGCGAACAAATGATTGTCTTTTACATAGTGCGTCTACTATATATAAAGCCGTTGTGAGTAACATTGGATTGTCTGAGAGGAGAAATTGGGTGTATACTTGTGGATGGACTTTTA